ATCCGGTTAAAACGCTTATTTTTTTCCGCACAAAACGTTTAATATTTTCCGGGAACTTGGTAAAAAGTTTGGTGACTTCTTCGACAAAACGAGAAGACCGTTGAGGATTTTCTTGAATTTCTCATTTTTGGGCGTAGTAATCCAGAATAAAAAGATAAGGATTTTGGCGAGTTTGGAGAATATTAAGCACCGTCTCGTGTTCGTAGTGACGGCAAATTTCGTCTGGGTCGCCCGAGTAAGGATAACTAATTACTTCACAGTCGATTTCGTGGGCTAACAAAGTTAGGGCGATGGTTAGCGTGGCTTCGCGACCGGCTTGGTCACCGTCCAAAAAAAGAATAATCCGCTTTTTTAGTTGGTGAAGCAACTGAACTTGTCGCTCCGAACAATTAGTGCCCAAAAGGGCTAAACAATTTTCTACTCCTGATTTGGTTAAACTAATCACATCAAAAAATCCTTCAACTAAATAACAATCTTCCGCCCGGTGCTGGCGGACGGCGGAATAGTTATAAAGTAAGGATGATTTTTGATAATTTGAGTAATTAGGTAAGTAGTTATATTTGCTCTCGCTGGAAGAAGGATTGGTCTTGCGAGAAGCAAAGGCAATAATTTCTCCTTTCTCACCAAATAGAGGCAAAATTAACTGGGAAGAAGAAAAATAATCTTGGACTTGATAGTTATCATTAATTTGTACTAAATTAGTTGACGATAAATTGGCCGCAAAATGTTGCTGTGGGAAAAGCAACTTACTTATTTGGTAGTTACTAATGCTGCAACCTAACGAAAAACGGTCAAGCAGTTGGGGAGTTAGTTGCCGTTGCTCTCGGAGATAATCAAGGGTCTCCCGACCGAGAGAAGTTAATAAGTTGTGTTGATAAATTTCTTTTACTAAGGAAAATAAGTTATTGAGGGAATTTTCCTCTTCCTGTTTTTCTTGTCAGTCCGTAAGCGGGAAATAACCTAAGCGACTAATTTCCTTAACGGATTGGCGAAGCATCGTCGGAGTTAATTCCTGATTTCCTGTTTGGTACTTAGTTCAAAATTCGAAGATATTTCGGGCGGAAAATTGACAAGAAAAACATTTGAAAAATTTTTTTTGGGGTTCAAAACTTAAAGAAGGATTTTTGTCGTCATGAAAAGGACAAAGAAAGAAAATATTTTTTCCCTTCTGGTGCGGAGAAAGTTTTAAATGTTTGGTTAACAAATCAAGAATTTCACCAGCATTCATTAATTCACCATATCTCATAAAATTAAAAATAATTTCACTTTATATTTTTATTTTTTTTTCTAATTATTGTCCGACAAAAATTTAAGGCAATTATATACAAATTTTACTAAGCCAAGTCGACCAAACTTTTTCCAAAAAAATAAAAAGTTTGGAAAATT